AAAGGGTAACGAAAACCTCTGTACATTGTTACCTGAACACAACGCGGATGTAAATGCTCAAAGTGAAGATGGATATACACCCTTGCACTTGTCTGCCAGAGAGGGTAACAAAACACTCTGTAGATTTTTACTTGAACATAACGCAGATCAAATATTCAAGGTAAATGTGGATATACACCCTTGCACTGGTGTGTCAGAAAGAGTAACGAAACACTCTGTAGATTTTTACTTGAACATAACTCAGATGCAAATATTCAAGATAAATTTGGATATACACCCTTGCGCTGGTGTGCCAGAGAAGGTAACGGAAACCTCTGTAGATTGTTACTTAAACACAACGCGGATGTAAATATTCAAGATAGTGATGGATATACACCACTGCACCTGTCATCTTTTAACAAGGATTACAGCCGTGAGATACACAGGACGAAATTTCAAGAATCCGTAAAGGGAAACTTAACGTAATGTTTCCGTTAGCGGATACATTACGTTTACCCATGTTTCCGTCGCTGCGGTTTCGGCGGAATCGTACCACTTTTTTCTACGTTTCCGTCAAATTTCCGTCTAAGCAAACACGTGTTTCCGCAAGCGTGGCATCCTTGCGGAAACACGCGAAAACGTTCCGGAAACAAGTCAATTTCAAGTTTCCGTCAACGTAATCGGATGTAACTATTGCGGAAACACGAGTTTACGAGTCGGAAACTGGTGTTTTCAAGTTCTTTCCATCGTGAAAAAAGCGCTTTTCACCATCTTGGGGTGGTTATCCCGCCATCTATAGTTACAAAAACCCATTCTCTCGACATTTTTATTGCACAAAATAATACCACAGCAATCTTTCCAAGTACTTTCTTTATTCTTCTTGCTTCTTAAACTGACAATCAGGTCTTCTTATGGTATTTATTCATTACATTGGTCAAGTTAAATTACATTTTAAATGTGAGTGCCTATTCACACTAGCAATGAATAGGAATAGTAAGAGGCTTCCTTTAGGAAATCCACTAGAAATTTTCTGTAGGACAACATAGTGTTTTTTTTTTGGTAAAGAAAATGTCAAATCTGTTAACAAATTAATACCCTTTATAGCTTTATAGCAGATAGTGATAAACACTTTCATGTGCAGCTTATGGCTAGTGATATGTTTGGCTGTCTATAATATTTCAACAAAGTGGAATATGATTTGTCGGGTGAATGTACATTGTAGTCCTGAGTAGGACTGTTGTTGACAGCGACTAACGTTTTGACAACAAGGTGATCATCATTTTCTTGGGAATTGTCAAAACATCAGTTCCTGTCAACAGTTCCACTAAGTACTATACTAACCTGTATGATCATATACCATATATCGTGAAAAGCAAAACTAGCAGAAACGCGAACGAACAGAGTCAAAGTAGCCGCGTAATAAGAAATACAACCGGTCTTAGTGAGTTTAGCACCTTCCTCAAAATTATCAAATCTAAGGAGCAAAATTTTTTGACGGTTAACTCTTCTTACCCTATTTACGGCTAAAGGTGAAAATGTTTCAATTTTTACGACTATGGACAAAATTTTTGGCCGTTTTACGCCGAGACTGCAAAACAGTCCGTATTTTTGCGTATTCAAGTACTCGCGAGCAGTCAAACAAAAGGTTTGGAACGAGGGTGAAAACAGATAGCGAGACTGGGGAGAGACGCTCGACGACCTTTTTGAACCCCCTGGTCTGAACGAACTCATTACAGTATATGGAAAACGGACAGTCGGTTTTTTTTCTCTCGCCTCACACACTCTTACGCCACACTTTACCGATTTCTTTACTGATTTTGAGAAAAAACGACTGTTTTGCAGTCTATTTACGCCCATCGGTTAACCCCATTGAGACCTTAATTGAGACCCCCGCGGGACATCTGTCGGGGCACTTCATTTAGCATACATAGAGAAGATACCTGACGATAGTAAATGGCGGTGTCGGTCCGGATTCTATGAATCAGATTGAAGGAGATATTACTTAAAGAACGTCGAAAGAAAGATACGAACAGCTAATCTTGGAGCTGTAGCAGGGTAAGAATCGCCTTTTTCGTTCCTTAAGGTATCCCCTTGCTAATAAATCTGCAGAAAAATTTGCTGATCTGTAATGAGATCAGAACTGACTCCCAGGCTTTCTGTTTTGCAAAATGGTTAGCATACAAGCTTATGGCTGCGTTAACTTGTAAAGAAGTCCAAGAAAAATTCTTTTCACCTAAAATGTTTTTGAACTCCTTTTTATAGTAACTATATATATACTATTAACCAGCATTAGCCGAGATGAAATAGTGTAAATGTCACATATTGAAAAGTCGCTGCCACACTATCTCACCGAATAGGCTAAAAATTGGCAGGTAGACTTGATTTGGGGTCTTTAATAAGGAATAGGTAAGTAACTTTAGGTTCCAGTTCCTCCTATTTCGGAAATCATCGACATGGCCGGTTTTTGAGTGCCTCGGACCGGCGCCATATTGGTTAATAGAAGCTGTTTTTGACCCTTCGACTACAACCCTGTCTTCAAAGCTAATATTCCTTTGCCGATACACATTGAGAGAACTATCTCTCTTCATTGTATTTCTACAAACTACTTCGATATTTTATATTTATGTTACACCCGCAAAATTAACAGAAATTCAAAGGCGAATATCTCCCTTGCCACATCGCATTGAAGCTTGCCACTGTGCCTGAATACTCATTGTTTGTAGTTAAATCGAGTTCGTTTATAAAAAATTAGGCAAATTTAACAAAGCAGAAACAAAAGTAACGAATGGAAGAGTGTTCTAGCGACTTTGTCAATAAACTTTGCACCGAATGCTCGCCAGGTGTTGCCAAAATTACAATCAATAATAGAGTTTTCTGTCACTAAATTTGAGTGATCTGTATAATAAAATTAGCCTCTGTAATATTAGCGATAGCTCTGCTGCGAAAAACAGTATAAAAGGGAAGATTGTATAAGGAAAAGAAAAATTAATTTTTATATTTATGCTACGACGCGTAAACAAAATGCAACCACCACAGTCGAACTTGAATTTTCCTGATTTTCCTCCAGTGCCTTTATCGAAACCAGAGCTTTTAAAATTAACCACAATAATGAAAATTGAGATGTATTACCTTACTCGACGACAAAGATGCCAATTTCCATCTTGATCGAAAAAAAAGTAATGTTTTCCCACGCATATCGCGGGTCGTCACGTTCCTTCCATAGCGTTACAACTCATGTGAAACCGCCTGGTTCAAACAACTGAACTGAAGAATCCGTGAACATCTTAGCCAGGCAATAAATAATGGAAGTTGATATAAGTTATCATTTTTAGTGAGCGAGGATGCGATGATAGCTCCAGCTACATGTATTTACAGCGTCTGAAGATTCGCTCGAAACTCATGAGACATGGGCCCTTCAAATAAACATCATTACTTCCGGTTTTACAAATTCGGCTATGGCAAAGTAATAAGGGAGGAACCATTGGAAATAACCGGAGGTGGGGAGACAGTTCCTGCAAAAAGAAATTCCTGCAAGGGAAACGGGTCTAAAAAAAATCCTGCAAGCGGTGATACCTAAAAACAATAAGTTATATGTTCTGGAAAAACATTCCTGCAGACAAGCGGGCTTTTAAAAAAAATTCTTGCACCAAAACTTTTTCACCACCCCCCAACCCCCGCTCCGATTATTTCTAATCGTCCGTCCCTAAATAGACTCAATCTATCTTGTACACCATTAAAACGGTTCCGTACAAAATTTTCAGGTATTTTGTTCCAATCACAAAGCTCGTTTTGAGAAGATTCTTGGTCTTTCTATAAAGTATTTTGTGATGAACAGCAAAATTGGTTTGGAAGGGGTTGAGAGGAATGAGGGATGAGCGCAGGAGATACAAAAAGCCCAGTCACCCCGCCGAGGGGCTTTAAAACTGTTTGCAAATGCCCCACCTTAGGGACAATTCAAGATTTTTGTTGTCTTGAAAGAGCTTGAAATCGCTAGTCTAGTACCGATTGACGTAACATCAGTGGTAAAAAACGAACGCTTTTTACCGTAGGACGATGACGTCATCATACAAAAGGCATCTTCACTCTGGCATCCTCAATTTCAAACCGTCAAAAACTAATTTTCTCTGGTCGACAACTCAAAAACGCCTCTAAAGAAAAGTAGTGGTAATATGCTTGTTACTACGACGTCCAACATAAGGAAACATTCATGATCAATTTGGTCAATGCATTAATAAAGAGATACATTTTCCTTTACCCTTAGGGACAGAGTTCAAAAGTCCAAAAGATTTTTATTTCAGCTCTAGCATGTCTCGTCTAGCGATTTGCCTTGAGCTTCTCTTCCTTTCCAGATCAAACAAGCTGTGCCCATCTTGCATAATCTTGCCTGGGTTCCCTTGAAAAATTCCGCTTGATAACTTCATGATCTATTTTAATGGGTAGTTTTCTGGAACTATCCTATGGTTTGTCCTTTCTGGTCTTCACTAGCTATATTAGCGAAGACGTTTCAATTTATCTCTAGCAAACGTCTCTACCAGGAGCGTAGCCGGGATTTTTCAGGTGTCTGCACAATTTTCAAAACTTACCCTAACTTCTTACTCAGTTCTCCCGTAACGTTTCCCCATTACATTTGATAATTCTGTTAACTAGGTGAGGTTATGCGAGGATAAAATGGCACTTGCAATCGGTGAGAAAATTAGGTTAGACACATGCTTTGCCCTTAATGACGGCTCTGACGTTTTGCTGACACTTTCTACAGGCCAAAGTGGAGCTTTGCCTTCCCCACTCTCTGTAAAAAATATCGTTCGGCTGTTCAAACTAAAACTACTGTACTGTCGCAATAAATCCATCGCACTTTGTAATACCTGTCGCAATTTGTAATAAACCGTGTCGCACTTTGTAATAAAAAAAGCTCTCGCAATTTGTAATAACTGTCCATCGCACTTTGTAATAAACTAAGCTGTCGCAATTTGTAATAATTCCATCGTACTTTGTAATAATTTTTTGAGAGTGATTCAACTTTC